TGTTTGACTCCATGATTAGGAGGAATATAAAGATGGGAAGAAAAGAGGGAGAAAAATGTTAATTCTCACTTCAACCAGGCAGTTACAGAATGAATACGTTTATGTTTGTGTTGTCACCACTGCCTCTTGTCTCTCTCTCTCTCCTACCTGAGTATGTGAATCTACATAGCTTTTAATAGGATGTGGTATTCTACTCTCTGCCTAACATGCAGGGAGGCCCATAAAAGCGTTTTAAAATAGATTTTCTTCATAACCTTGGACTTAATCTCTCCATGCTTTGGATTTCTTGCAGTAAAATGTGTATACTTTATAATCAACATGTTTGCTCACTCCTTTATGGAAATTTCATGAGATGTAGATATTAGTGTTCCAGTGTATATTTTGAAATATTACCCTCTGTGCCTGAGGTCACAAAAGTAGGTTGTGTGTGGCAGACCTGGATTGAAACCTAAATGTCAGTTCTTAGGGTGCTTCAGACAACGTCATCAGTGATTGTATTCACTGCCTTTCTAAGACTCAGAGGGCAAAAATAAGCACAATCCTTATCTGTCTTGTTTTCTGCCCAGTCACGAAAATCTGTTTGAGGACCATCCTTGTTTCCTTTTCAGAGTGATTTTTTTCTTCTTACTGGGGCAAATCATACCTAAAGAGAGTAGTGGACATCTTAAAAATAAGTTTCCACGCATATATACTGTGTAACCACTGTGCATATCAAGGCCTTTGGTTTTTAAGTTTGAGGTGAGAAGCTGGAGAAATTTGGGCAGCCCCATTTGGGAGGTTTTACACCTCTATTCTCCCAGAGAAATTGTCTCTTCCTGCTTGCTTTATTTTACTTGTGGTAGTTCTAATGCCGACAGAAACCCATTTTGTCTACCATTGTAATTTTGTCTGTCCTGCCTATAGCGGGCTCGAGATGAATTTGAAAGCCTCTTCAAGCAGTCTGCAGAAAATATCAACCAGTACCTCACGTGAGTAACTCAAAAGCCCTCTCTTCCTGTCCCCTACCTGCCAGCCAAGGCAAAGCATCTTGTCTAATTTCCTGATCACCCTAATACTCAGTCAGGCTCACTCTGAATGAATGAATGCTTGAGCCTCATAGGAGACAGGTGATTCCAGGGGCAGAGTTGTGTATTTGCATATTTGGGCAGGTGGCGTGTCTTCCTGTCTATTCTACTCCAGTGGGGGGTCAGAACTAGTTTTCCATGAAGACAGTGCTAGTTCCATGAAACCTACTCCTAAGGCTATTGAATAATCCTGACCTTTGTCTCAAATTTCCAATAGAAACCCTAAGTTTATGGAACAGACACTGCGGCTGGTAGGCACCCAACCCGTGGAGTTGCTGGAGAATGTGCAGTGCAGCCTGGTGCTGCAGAGACCAGAGACATGGGCTGATTGTGTGACCTGGGCCTACCACCAGTGGCACATTCAGTATTCTCACAACATCCAGCAGCTGCTGCACAACTTTCCCCCCCGCCCCGAGCAGGTATACTATGCTTCCAGTGTCTATTTGGCAGAATACACTTTCTGGAAATGTGGAGTTTACTGGAGGCTTTGGACATGCTTCATTCTAGTTAAGACAGGTGTCACAGGCAACTTAAGGTATGGGGGTTTCAGAAAAGTGATAAGGCCAGTGCTTTCTGCAGACACCTGTTTTTGCTCTGTTTGTTTTCTTTCAGCCCAGAGACTTGGCATCTCTTCTGTCTCCTATGGTGTAGGCTGAGTCAAATCTGATTCCCAGTAAAGCTGATTATGATAGGGGAGAAATTTTGGAGGTAAGAGCACAAGTGCCAGCTCTGTGTGACACTAGGCAAGTCATATATTTTTGCTGCTCTTCAGGAGTCTTACCTACAAAGTAGGTAATAATGCTTATCTCATAAGAATTTGATGAGCATTAATTTGTCTGTGGATATTACAGTTAGTGTAGTGCCTCAGAGTCCATAAGAGATTAAGTGCTGTGTTTCCGGCACAAAGTGAGTTTCCAGGGATAGTGAACTTAGACTTTCAAGGCTCGAGTGAGAAGTGCCAGAGAGCCCTCTTCTCTCCCATCCTACTCCCATAAAATGTTTTATCCTTTCAGCTTACAAGCTCTGGAGCCCCATTTTGGTCTGGTCCCAAATGCCGTCCTCACCCACTCATCTTTGATGTCAGCAATGTGAGTCTCCTTCCTGGAGTCTACTGGGTTTAGGTGAAGAGTGGGTAAATGGAAAGTCAGTAGAGACTACACTTGAAGACTGATGTGCTCACCCGTCCCTGCTCTTCCTTTTCCTAGCCCCTGCACCTGGACTATGTGATGGCTGCTGCCAATCTGTTTGCACAGACCTATGGACTGATAGGCTCTAGGGACCGAGCTGCTGAGGTTACATTGCTACATTCTGTGCATGTCCCCGAATTCATTCCCAAGTCTGGTGTCCAGACCCACATTTCTGACCAGGAGCTGCAGAGCACCAGTGCCTCTGTTGGTGAGTGTGTTTGGCCATTTGACTGTGAGTTAGTTTGTACTCTGTCTAGCTAAGCCTCCTCATTAGTCTTTTGCCACTGGCGGTCATACATGACTGTAGAGTGGAGATTTACCAGTGCACATCCTTTCAGCCTCGCCTCCTATATTTGAGATGTGACACTCTCCTTTCTTCTTCACACTCTTCCTATTATGAAAACTAGTTCATCTACTTCCCTGTGTGTGTTTGCCTTTTTTCATCTGTTTCTTATAAATCTGTTTAGGGGAGAAAGACATATGATCTCTACCAGTGCTCTGTCTCCTTTGATCTCTTAGCAGCTTCTGCCTGCTTCTGTGTCCCCATCCATACATCTAGTCCCAACTTCACTGTGTGTATATTTATCCTACTATGGCCCTTCATTTGTCCTCCCATCTTCCTTTGAAGATCTTCCTCTGATAACTGCAGCTCCTACTTTCCTCTGCTTTTCTGTGTCCTGTCTCATGATCTTTGTCTCCTTCCTCTATCATTTTTGTCTTTGAATGCGTGTTTAGGGAGGTGGTGTGTCTTCCTTTGTTCCTTCCTTTTCAAATATGTAACCCCTCATGTTTTCCCCCTGCAGATTGCTTCTGGATGTATATATCTCTTCAGATACCTCTTCTGCAGGTATTTTTCCTTGCTTCATCCTCCATATATACTCTTATCTCTCCAGTTCTGTCCCTGTGTCTCCCTCTGGATGTATCCTTCACCTTTTTTCACACAATATTTATTCTCTGTTTTCTTGTCTATGAATTTGTCCACAATTCCTGTTGATGTATCTTTTTCCCTCAACTGTGTCTTATGTTCCTGCACCATGACTTATCTTCTGCGTCATTCTTTCTCAAGATTTCTATCTCATTTTGGTTTCCCTTATGTCTTTTTATTGTTGTCAGAATGGAGATGTATCATCTTAATTACTTGTCAGTTTTCTGTTCAGTGGTGTTATATATATTTTCACTGTTGTGTAGCAAACCTAGAACTTCATCTTGCAAAATTAGAACTTTGTACCCATTTTTTAAAAATCTCATTTTTCTTTTTCCACGCTTTCTGGCAGCCACCATCTTACTTTCTGTTTCTATGAGTTTGCCTACGTTAGGATTCTCGTGTAACTGAAATCGTATATTGTTTGTCTTTTTTGTGACTCTTTTATTTCCCTCAGCATAATGTTCACATTGTCTCATGTGTCAGAATTTCCTCCTAAGTGTAAAGAGTATTGGTCCATTGTATGTACATACCACATTTTGTTTATCCATTACTCTATCTATGGACATTTGGATCGCTTCTGTATTTTGGCTGTTTTGAATAGTCTTACAGTGTACATCTTTCCACACTGTCTTCTTCTCTATTCTTTAGTATATGCAGAGTTATTCCTTTGTGTTCCTCACACTTGTGTGCCTCTTTCTCTGATTTGGGATGGTGTTTTCAATTCTACCTCTGCTTTCTCTACTGCTTCCCAGGAAATAGATACCTTTCAAATTTTTTATCTGCCTGAGCAATTTCTGCCTTACTCTGAGCCCCTGTCTTTTCATCAGACACTGGCTTAAACCTTAAAGGGCTGATAATGTTTTCTCCCTTTCTTCAGATGAGAGCCGCATAGAGGAGCTCAAGCCCACACTTCCTAGTCCAGAGAAGCTTGCTGGGTTCAAGATGTACCTCACTGATTTTGAGAAGGTGCTGGCTTGGGGCGCTGGACTGGACAGGAGTATGGGCCAACCGTGGCGCTGCCCTGAGCCTTTGTTAGGATGACAGAGGGAGGGAAGACAGGAGAAGAGAAGGTCAGAGCAGGAAAATGTTTTCTGGCAACTGGGAAGACCCACAGGTAGCTGGGTGGAAGATAGTGTGTCCTAGTAGCTGGGAAATCTTTTCCTTCTCTGACTCTGACTTTTGTATTGTCCTTTCTTCCTCCGGCTCACAACAGGATGATGACAGCAACTTCCATGTGGATTTTATTATGGCAGCATCTAACTTTCGGGCACAGAACTATGACATTCCCCCTGCAGACTGGCGTAAGGTAGTGGCACTGTAAACCTAATCTTCTACCTTTACCCAAGCTTGAGTCTCCCACTTTTGACCAATTCTGTAGATCAGTCCTCTCAGTAACTATCTGTGTTGTTCAAATTTTGTCTCACAGAGTAAGCCGATTGCAGGAAAAATCATTCCAGCTATTGCAACAACCACAGCAGCTGTTGTTGGCCTCGTGTGCCTGGAGCTATACGAGGTAGTACAGAGACACTGAAAGCTTCAGTCCTATAAGAACAGCTTCATCAACTTGGCCCTGCCTTTCTTCAGCTTCTCTGAACCCCTTTCCCCACCCCATCACCAGGTAGGGTGCACATTCATGAAAACTAATTATATTATCCATTAATAAGACTGTATTATGTGGGGAGGGGATATATGTGTGTACTTTTGTATATACAGCCAGCTCTAGTGTTCATCATTTCAGTTAAAGTTTCCAGGGGCTTGATTAAGATAAAATTAGCCTGTGAGATGGTTTTCAACAAAACAGGGCTGTCATCAGTCTGACTGGACATGTCAGGCTGAGTGATAAGGGTAGGGCTATATGGGATGACCCCTGTTCTATTCCCCTGTCCTTTGTCCCTCAGTACTATAACAAAGAGTGGACACTGTGGGATCGCTTTGATGTACAAGGCATACAACCTGATGGTAAAGAGATGACTCTCAAGCAGTTCCTAGCCTTCTTTAGGGTAAGACCACTTCTCCTCTCACTCCACACAGTGGGAGATGGTGCTTGGGCAGTTGACCTGTGCTGTCCATCTCTCTAACACTACTCCCCAACTTTCTTCCCACCCTCTCCAGATGGAGCACAAATTGGAAATTACCATGCTTTCACAGGGTGTATCAGTGCTGTATTCTGTCTTCCTGCCAGCTGCCAAGCTTACAGAACGATTGGATCAGCCATGAGTTGGCTGCAGGGCAGGTTGGGAAGGCCCCATGTGGGATGTGGATCTTCCTCTTCACCTGTAACACTCATGATTATCTTCCTTCTTGACTTCTTTGCCCCATATGTCCTTTGTCTCCTTTGTTTCTTGCCTCCTTGACTCTGTTTTGACCTCAGGATGACAGAGATTGTGAGCCGTGTGTCAAAGCAAAAACTGGGCCACCATGTGTGGACTCTGGTGCTTGAGCTGTGCTGCATTGATGGGAGCGGTGAGGACGTTGAGGTCCCTTATGTACGATATATTACCTGCTGATTCCTGGCAATCCCTTTACCCTAGTCCAGATTCCTGCTAGTTGTGACAAAAGCTGAGCCCAGCCAGACATAAATGTCTTATTTTCTTCTGAGAATGTTTTTTGCTGCCCTCTACTGTTTATCATTGGAATTCATAATAGCATTACTAAATATGGCATGTTAATTGTTTTGTCAAAGGCCAGTATTCTATCATCACTAGAAAGGAGTAGGCTTCCATAGCTTCACAAATTAAGATGGTAATTAATCCAAAACGTCTAGCTCCACCCTTCAAGGAACATGCCCAGAATCCAGGGGTTTAGGATGGAGAAAATTTAATCCAGTGATTCTCACAAAAGTCAGACTTTAAAATTTTCTTCTTGTCCTGTAAGAAGTGAAGACACTAGCGAGGCTGTACAGCAGATCTACTCCATGTGTTAAATCTGTTTGTGGTTCTAGTACTTTTATTCCTACTTCCAACTATCTGCTGTAGCTGATTTTGTGAGGTAGTAGAGATTCTAGACCTGGACTGTCTTATGTCTGAATTCTAACTTTTGCCAATGTATATAACCTTTGTTAAGTTGCTTTGCTTCTCAAATTGGTTATGTTTAAAGTAGATACAAAGAATTGTGTCAAGTGCTTAGTACTTGGTACGTAGTGTGTGTTGCACATGGAGTTTACTGTTACTAGGTTGGTGCAAAAGTTACTACATTATTTGCCATTTATTATTTAAGTATATATTTTAGCTTCTTGAAAGATATTTTTCTGCTGGTCTTCGTCTTATACCATCTCATTTGATGCTTTCACACTCTGGCCAAACTTTTATAACTATTCTTCTCCTTGTAAGAGGGACATAAATTTTTGCTGTAATGAAAATTGCTGGTGCCTTCAGACATTCCACATCTGCTTTTCTTTTTTATTATTATACTATTAAGTTGTGGGGTACATGTACAGATGGTGCAGGATTGTTACATAGGTATACACATGCCAAGGTGATTTGCTGCATCCACCCCCCTATCACCTACATTAGGTATTTCTCCTGTTATTTCTACATCTATTTTTAAAAATCATTTGCCTGAGAAGAGCTATAGAAGAAAATCCTCTTCCTAGCTCCACACTGTCTCTCTCAACCCTAGATCTGTCGCTGCCTATCTTTAGGATTTTGGGGCCTTTCACCATCAAGGAAGGACCTAAATCTGGAGGGTAAGGGTGGTTTTATCTCAGTGGAGTCTCAGTGCTGGCCTTCATAAGAACTACAGATCCCACACCTTGCCTTTGTCACTGAGCCCTCCAGATAGCTAAAGGCACAAGTCTTTTTGATCACCGCTTTATCAACTCAAGATATCTTAATGTTGATGTCAGGCCTTTAGGTCAAGTGGAGAGATTTTCCCACCACAGGCAGGTTTTCACATTACTGCTCTTAAGTATCCCAAACACCATCCTTCTTCCATTGTCTTTACCACACTGTGTTTTCTGCCCTCTTCCTTTACTATCAGAGCTCCAAAATCTTCCAATTTAGCACTGTAAATAGAAATTCATTTAAGAAGGAAGTGACATAATTTTATATATTTATGGAGTTCCTGTATTTGGATATATGGATATTTGTACTAATCAAATCAGGACAACCGGTATATCTCATCTCATTTTTCAGTTATTTGTTTTGGGAATATTCAGAATTTTCTCTGCCTACTTCATTTCTGCTAAAGCATACACATTGAATTTCTATAATCATGCTTTAAATCATCATAGTTGCTGAAACTGCAGTGACAATGTTCAGTTTCTCAAACCCAGCTGCCAAGTAGTTTGCTTCTCTGATATTTGCCTGTCCTTCCTCTTGAGGATCTCCTCTGAAAAAATGTTTGTTTTCCTGCTGTTACGACTGCCAGATAGCGGAAATATCCATCTATCTTCAGTTTGTTCTTCTCTGTACACATATGCGCACACTTGCTGATTCGTAACCAGGTTTACCAAGGAGAAGCAGCTGAATATGGTGTTGATATTTGGTAAGCAACTAATGGACACCCTGAGTTGACTAGGATGTAAATTTGATATTTTAATAGAGGCATGAAATGTGTAATGACTATATAATTTGGATTACACACCATTTTTAAGTGTATACTGCATCCAGTGTGTAGATGTTGGTGGTACCATTCTGTTTCTATCTCCAGTAGCTGGCATTTGATCAGAGATAAATAGCCGGCAGCAAAGCCAACCTACAAAGCTGAGCTGAGCACTCAGAGAAGCACAATTGACATTTCTGTTTCATTTACATCCCTACCCAGACACCTTGTCAAGCCTCAGAGCCCACCCATGAATCTGCGGAGGCAGGAAGACACCTTCTCAGGATTAGTGAAAGGAAGGATTGGGGAATTAGTATTGTGCTTGGATTCGTCTGAATTCTCCAGAGAAACCACCAACCGGAGATACTTGGACATTAGTATAGATGAAGGTATATATGTACTAGGCCCTTCTTGCATGCTTATAAAAATGCCTGAGGCTGGGATATATATGAAAGAAAAGAGGTGTGATTGGTTCACATTGCCATAGGTTGTATAAGTATGGCTCTGGCATCTGCTCAACTTCTGGTGAGTCTCCGGAACTTTTACTCACAGGAGAAGGCAAAGCAGGAGTTCTGTCCACTGGGAGGATTTCTCTTCACTGCTGCCCTTCAAGGGATGTCCTAGAAAGGGGCTGTAGGGTTGCATCTGTCCACTTTTGGTTGGTGGCTATACATTGTGCAGAACCATCAGTGAACCATGCCCTAGTCTTCTCTTTCCCTGTCAACTGATCATAGGGAAGTTCCCATGAGGCCATCAGTGCAGGCTGGAGGAGAGAAGGCAGGGTGGCAGGAGTAAAGACCATGGGCATTTGAGCTATTTCTTGAAAAAAATGTTTGTTAAGAGTATTAGTGGTTATCTTTCACTACCCCATATTTTAACCTCATGCTTGAGTAAAAATGTAATTACATTTTCACATAGTATGAAAAGACGATATAAAAGTTTCTGTCCTATACTTCCATATATTAGGAACTACTATTGTAAGGTAAAGATATCTTAAGTGTTTCACTTTAAAAGAATTACAGCAAAAAGGCAACACATTCACATAAAGTAAGGCTGGTGATTTCATGAAAAAAAGGTCAAAATACTGAAGAAAGGGACTAAACACATGTTAATGCCATGTAAGGAATCCTAAAAGCCAAATGCATTTTTTTTTTTTTTTTACAGCTAATCTAAAACATTACCTTGAGCAGGGCTTAAATACACAGCGTTATGTGTCATCAGTTATTTCACAAATTGCAAATACTTCCAACTGTATTGCATTCAGTTATGCATAAATTTCATTTATTTTTAGGTTTTTGAAACTCTATCTTTTGGTCTTACAACTGATCACTTTTAAATAGGCTTTTCTGTAAGGATGTAAAGTCCCCAAATTTGCTAAATAACAATCCAATCAACACAAATCCTTAGAAAGATTTTCTGTGTAGTCTTCATTAATGCAAATCTTGGTGAATATATCAATCTTACTATAGGATCTTGAATAGGTTTTACAATAATGAAGCTACAAATTCTTTATGGTTCTTTTGAGGCACGGTATATCTCATTTGGTTTGTAGTCTGCTGTCACTCCTCGCAAAGAACACACATCACAGGAGATATAGTAATCATCTGTCTTGTTAATCACTCTAATTTAAAAATCTGCTTTTCATAAAACAGGACCGATTACCACAAACTATCATTTGCATATTCAGCCACAGGTCTGTTACAAAGCATTTCGTTAGTGGCATTAAATGCAGAAGGCTGGACACTTAGGAAAAAATGAGTTTTGTTAAGTTTGCCAGCTCTTTCGATATCATGAACTATACTGCCATTTCAAGATTTAATTGGTGTTTAATGCCACAAGCGAAAGACTGATCAATGGAAGCAAGCAAAACTAAATTATTTTGCAGGTGCTACAATATTTCATTTGATAAGGTAACAAAAGCATACCACAAAATTTAAGCAAGATTAATGTGTGTTCCAACTTATCAGTCAGGGATTCTTCTACACTGTCTGTGTTCCATTTGAGGGTGCTTAGTTCTTCAGGAATGTTCCCGTTGTCATACAAATGCTTTAACCCTTCTGAACCATGGACATTCTTGATTTGTAATCTTATGAACGGTTTGGGATTGTCACTCCTAACAAAAGCTTGGACTTGAGGGAAACTTCCCATTTATTTATCTACAAACCAGAATAGCTCCTGCACACAGGTTTTTAGTTTGAAATTGTGCTTCCTCCTGAGAACATCCTTGGCAATCAAGTTCCAGCTGAAGTGGGTTGAAATGTCCAAGAAGATCATGAGAACTGCAGAGCAAGTTGCCAGAGAAACCTAACATTCTGCATGCATCTGATAAAAACTCCGCCCCAAAAGCAGACACCTAAACACCACACTTCTTTGCTTCTGCATCCTCCTATCATTCATGACAGTTTGTCAAGCAATCAAGAAGCCACGCTGTCACCCATTTTAGCCCTGCCTCCTTCTCCAAGTTTAAACCTCAATTTTTTTTCTCATGCACTTCTCTCAATGGCTGGTGACATAATGTGGTCTTGCAAGAGTTATCCACAATAGAGAGCTTATCATCTCATCATCTTCATTTATCATTTCCATTTGTTTACAAAAGAAAGATCTATAAGGATTTTACCACCTCTTCTGCCCTCTATATGGCCTGCCCTTCAGGGTGTGAGCAAATACATTTGTGTACCCTCCACCAAAATACTGACTTCTGCTCTTTATTATCATACATTTTGAATTCTGTTACATCTCCATCATCAAACTCATACCAGGAATCTCAGTCATCCTGCCATCCTTTGAAAAATAAAAATACTAATGCTCACTGCTTACTTGACCATGGTGTACAGTCATACCTAAATCTCTGTTTTGTGATTTCTGGCATTTTATTTTCATACTACTTCATCTGCTGAATCAATTGATTTTCTAAATTGGCATTCTGTTTCAGCTTTGCAATGGTTGCTACTGTGTAAGTTCCCATATTCAGCTCACAAAGAAATTCAGAATTATCATTGAATGTAATTGCATGCTTGTCTAGTCACAGAAAATTTTTTGAATTGGCCAAGAACAAAAGGCATTTTTTTTTTCATAGCAAGTGCTTTACTGTGTTAACACACCATAAACAGAGAATACAGAGAAATGT